ATTGGCCCAGCTGGGCCTCCAGTTCTCGCTTCTCGGATGCCAGGCGTGAAACCCTGGGGGAAGTGGGTAGAGGGAAGACAAGAGTCGGGAGGGGGCCTCTCAGGATCCCATCATTCTCACTTCTCCATGGGGTGGGCACGAACCATTTCACCTGCTCCAGGAACGGGGAAACGCAGCCCCACCACTCCAGCTTCCCCTGTTGCCATCATCTCTCCTCCTCCACCTCTCCCACATGAGGAGGAACACGGCCACATCACTCCCATTCATCCCACAGGGAAGACACAGCCCTGCGAGTTCCAATTCCAAAATAAATCATCAATCTGTCTTTCTCTATACCCTGAACGCCTAGCGCGGAAGTCCTGGCTTTAGACTCCCCCCAGGCCTCCCAGCCAGGTCTCACTACCTCCTATTCACCAGAAGACTCTAAAATGCAAATCCAATGGGGCACCTAGGTGGTTCAGTTGGTTGGGCTTCCGATTCTTGATTTTGGCTCAGGTCATGGGTCCTGAGATTGAGCCCCACATGGAGCCCCCCATCAGGCTCCACACTCAGCATGGGGTCTGCTTGTCCCTCTCCCTCCCCTGCTTGTACTCTCTCACACAATTTCTCTCTAAAATAAATAAATAAAAATTAAAAAAAATAAAATGAAATGCAAATCCAATCAGATCCCCTACTATGCTCAAAACCTTCCTTGAGGAAAAGATGTACACACAAGGCTATTCATTACAACACTATTCGTAATAGCAAAAAGAGTAGAAATAACCAAAATGTATACCAACAGAAAATAAGTTGAATTTCTATGGTATATCCACTAAACGTCCTAGCCAATGCAATAAAACAAGAAAAAGGGGCACCTGGGTGGCTCAGTCATTAAACGTCTGCCTTTGGCTCAGGTCATGATCCCAGGGTCCTGGGATCAAGCCCCGCACTGGGCTCCCTGCTCAGTGGGAAGCTTGCTTCTCCCTCTCCCATTCCCCCTGCTTGTGTTCCCTCTCTCGCTGAGTCTCTGTCAAAATCTTTAAAAAAAAAAAGTTAACAAAACAGTCATTTGCAGATGAAATGATTATAAAAATTGAAAATCAAAGGAAATCTACAAATTATAAGAAATACGAAAACAGACCAAAGTTACTAGATACAAAATCAACATATAAATACAATTATAGGGGCACCTGAGTGGCTCAGTTAACCAACTGAGCGCCTGCCTTCGGCTCAGGTCATGATCTCAGGGTCCTGGGACTGAGCCCCGCGTCAGACTCCCTGCTCAGTGGGGAGTCTGCTTCTCCCTCTCCCTCTGCCACTTCCCCCTGCTCCTGCTCTCTCCCTGTCTCTCAAATAAAAAAAAAATCTTTTTAAAAAATTAAATACATAAGGGGCACGTGGGTGGCTCAGTCGTTAAGCGCCTGCCTTCGGCTCAGGTCATGGTCCCAGGGTCCTGGGATTGAGCCCCGCACCGGGCTCCCTGCTCAGCGGGAAGCCTGCTTCTCCCTCTCCCACTCCCCCTGCTTGTGTTCCCTCTCTCACTCCCCCTGCTTGTGTTCCCTCTCTTGCTGTGTCTCTCTCTGTCAAGTAAATAAAATCTTTAAAAAAAAAATTAAATACATAAATACAATTATATAAACATCAACATGATTTATATATAACGTAAAGAAACCATTAGCAAAATCGTCCAAAGATGAAAAAAATCTAACAAAAGCATGATGGAATAACATCATTGAGACATTAAATAAGACCTAAATAAATGCAGAGGTATGTTGTTTATATATTGGAATACTCACTATTTATATAGATTTCAGCTTCCCCTAAATTACTCTATAGATTCAATGCAATACCAATAAATTTTGGAGTGCCTGGCTGGCTCAGTCGGTGGAGCATCTGACTCTTGGTGTCAGTGTTATAAGTTCGAGCTTCATGTTGGGTGTATTTTTATTTAAAAAGAATAAGGGGCGCCGGGGTGGCTCAGTTGTTAAGCGTCTGCCTTCGGCTCAGGTCATGATCCCAGGGTCCTGGGATCGAGCCCCGCATCAGGCTCCCTGCTCGGCGGGAAGCCTGCTTCTCCCTCTCCCTCTCCCCCTGCTTGTGTTCTTGTGTTCTCTCTCTCGCTGTGTCTCTCTCTGTCAAATAAATAAATAAAATCTTAAAAAAAAAAAAAAAGAATAAAATCTCAAGCCTATTATTAAAAAAAAATTCCAACAAGTTTTATGTTTTTGTATTGAAAAACCTATTGATTCTAAAATTTATAAGTCAGAAGACTTGCTCTACCCAGTATCAGCCTAATTATAAGGCTACAATAATTTTAACGGTGTGGTGCTGGCACAAGCGTAGACAAACCAATGGACCACAGAGCACAGAACCTCACCTGATGTACGATACATAAACATTCTTTGTGAGAAAGGTGACAATGGCTAAGCAGCAGGGAAAGGATACTCTTTTTTTTTCTTTTAAAGATTTTATTTATTTGAGAGAGAGAGAGATAGCGAGAGAGAGCACAAGCGGGGAGGAGAGGGAGAAGCAGGCTCCCCACTGAGCAGGGAGCCCGATGTGGGGCTTGATCTCAGGACCCTGGGATCATGACCTGAGCCGAAGGCAGACGCTTAACCAACTGAGCCACCCAGGCGCCCCAAGGAAATGATACTCTTTTTAATAAATGTCACCGGGCTGATTGACTGGTAATGTGAAAAAAACCATAAAAGGACACCTAGCTCCCCCCAAATTAATTTCAGGTAGATTGTAGACATAAATGTGTAAAGCAAAAGACAAAAAACTATAGAAGATGATATAGGACAATATCTTCATGGTACTGGGAGAAAAGGATTCTAAGAGAAGACATAAAAATGACTAACTTCAGAGAAAAAATTTCTAGTCTACATAAAATTAAGAACATCTGTTTATCAAAAGGCACTATCAAGAGAGTAAAAAGTCCAGCTACAGAGGGCAAGGAGGTTTCTGAAATACATAAAATTAACAAAGGGCTCATATCCTGACTATATAAAGAGTTCCTGGAAATCAGTAAGAAGTAGATGACAGAAGAAAAATAGACATGATGGGTGAATAGACAGCTCACAAAAGCGGAAATCCAAATGGCTACTAAATATATGAAAAACTGCTCAACCTCATTGGCAATTAGCAAATAAAAAGTACCAAGAGATGCTGGGCTGATGGGACCTTAGTAAGAAGGAACCAGGTCTCCACATCCGAACTCATCAGCCCCAACGCCACCTGACCGTGAACAAGCACACAGCACCACCTGGAAGGTGTCTTGCCAGAAACCTAAATCTGACCAGCCTATAGGTTTAACAACTACTTCACAGGAAATACAGGGGACAGGGGAATACATTAACCATGGAGATAGAATGAAGTATTTAAGAGGAGATATGATGTCTGGGATTTGCTTCTCAGGGAGAGGGGAGTGTGTAGATCAAACAAGATGGGCAAAATGTAGGTAACCATTGAATCGGGGGCATGATACTATTGTCTACTTTTGTGTGTTCTTGGAATTTTTCCTAATAAAACACTTCTTAAAATCTGTGGCTCCCCTATATTCTCCAAGGAGCTTCCCATTCAGCCCCATCTAGAGGACGTCCCCCTTCCCTTCCTCTCCCCCCACCTTCTCTGCCGTCAAGTTTCTCTTTGCAGATCCAAGTCCCTCCTCCTGGAACACTCTCTCTCTCCCTTCAAACGTCACATCCCCTGCCCGCAGCGACGTTAGGTCACGTCCCTCTCTTCTCTGCTCTCGTGGTTCTCTGTACATTTCCTTCCTCGAGCTGGCACTTACTGGTGTGATTATCTGTTTTCCGTCCGAACCCCCGCTCCAGCCGTCTGGTCACTGTGAGGGACCTGAGCTCTGTGGCCAGGCTGACTGTGTCTGACTCTACTCCACTTATTACAAGCTGGGTGACCTTATGCAGTTTGACCTCACATCTCTGCGAAGTGCGACGATAATAATAATACCTACCTATAAGGCTGTGAGAATCTACGAAGAGTGCTTGGACCATGTCTGGCACGATGTAAGGGCTCAAGAAACAACTAGGGCCAGGCAGTGTGCCTGGGACACAGTATGAACCAGAAAAATGTTGGCTGGATGAATGAATGAATCTGGAGTCTTCCCAAATTCCCTCACTCCAGTTAGGAAGAGGAAGTTGGGAAGAGAAAGATAAGAAGCCACTGACCAGCTATAGGATCTCAAGCCACCCTCGCTAGTTCCGGTTCGTTCTGAAGGGCAAAGGGCGCCACGCTGTGGCCAGTCTGGGAAACACATACATCCACACACACCAGAGAGTCCCGAGGATGAACTGAGGCTAAAGGTTATCCTGCTTCCCAGCAATGCACAGCCAAGCTCTTCCAGGAAGACCCACAAGGCTCTCCAGCTCCATAAGCTCCCACTCCTCCCTGTCAGCCCCAACACTCAGTCCTGGCCTAGGGGCCCAGCAGCTGCCAACAGAGCTCAGCAGCTAAAGGAAACAAAGGGGGCTTGTTGCTGGCTGCCTGGATTCAAGGTCTAGCCTGGCCATATTACTTACTGTGTGACCTGGGGCAAATTCTCTAACCTCTCTGGGCCTCAGTGTTCCTCCTCTGCAAAATGGGGACAACAGCAACGCCCACCTTGCAAGGATTAAAGGAATAAAGTCATAAAGCACTGAGCAGAATCCCTGGCACACAGTGAAATGCTCAATAAATGTTAGCTGCTGTAATAATTATTATTGTTATTACTAAAAATATTGGGGCGTCTGGGTGGCTCAGTCGGTGAAGTGTCCGACTCTTGATCTCAGCTCAGGTCTTAATCTCAGGGTCATGAGTTCAAGCCCCGTGTTGGGCCCCAGTGTGCAACCTACTTAAAAAAATAAAAAATAAAAACAAATAAAAATATTATTTGCTCCCCAATGGGTGGGGCCTCCTCCAGATGGGGAGGGGAATCCCTGATTCAGGACCCACAGTGCATAGCACATAGTAGGTACTCGGAAATGTGCCAAAAAGCCTTTGCTTTCTTCACTTTACTCTTCAAGTCCCCTTGTTTTCACCACATCCTACCAAACACAAAGCCTTTGCACATGCTGTTCATTCTGCCTAGAACGCTGTTCCCCACCCCCTTCACCTGACCTACCCCAAGACCCCATCAGGTTCCTACTGCAGCCTCCTATAGCACAGACCACCTTTTCTGCCTAACCCCATTTCTGCTGGCAATGTTATACTCGGGTGGTTACGTGATCAACATCCATCTGCCCCCTGGACGGGCCACTACGTGAAGGGCAAGGAGGGGGTCAGTACAAAAGAGGCACTAGATAAAGCCCTACCTCCCACCCTGTCTTTGTGCACGCGGCTCCCTCTGCCTACAACACCCCTCCCTTACCAGGCAGGCTCCAGTCTCCCCTCCGGGCTTCCCAAGCTCCACCCACTGTGAATTGTCACTGTCTGCACAAAGAGCTATCTTCCAGCACTGGACTGGGAGTTCCAGGAGGGCAGGGCCAGGACTGTCTCAGTCATTGCTGTGTCCCCAGCACCACCCAGCGCAAGGCAGGCACAGAGGAGGGGCTCAGAATAAATATCTGGTGAATGAGGGACCACCATTCTCTCAGGAGTGCTGAGCACAGGGCCCTGCGGTGCCCAATAGGATGCCTCCCCCACCCAGCCCCAGCCACCTTCCCTCCCCGACTCACTGCTCCCTCAGGTGCCAGATCTCAGTCTCCCGGGTGTCCCGAGCATCCTGGCCGTCCAGCCCTCGAAGGCGGCCCAGCTCCTGCTTCAGTGAGCGGATGATGCCCTGCAGGACCACAGGGTCTGGCTTGCCCTGGTACGGGAGGGGCAGCGGGTAGTGAATCCTGAGGGAGGATTAGAACCATGGCAGCTCAGAGGCCAAGAATCCGCCCTAGGGTAGGTACCAGACCCTAAGAGGCTTCGAGTATGAAAACCCCCAATTCCAAAACCTCACATTCTTAGAGGCGTACATTCCGAATGCAGCTTCAAGCCCGCTCCCTGCTCCCCTACCCCTTGGCCAGCCAGCCATCCCTCAGACTCCCTTATCTAGCAATCTTGCATTGACAGGCCTGGTGCAGTCTGAACTGACTTCCTTGTCATTCACGGCTGTTGGAGTGAACATGGGTATTATGTTACTTGCCGCCGAGAAAAGTTCTAATTCAGATTCCACAGGCATAGATTCTAAATGGCCTGACCTGTCTCACCTCTTGGCTAAGGAACGATAGGGCACCTCGATTAACTGCACCACCAGATGCTATGCATAGGGAACTGACAACTTCCCACTAGAAAATCCAGGTGCTATTATCAAATGGGGCAGATACCATCCCTGGTTACCCAAGAGCCATTCCCAGCTCTTTTTTGCCTTGCTGCCTCCCACTAAACAGACTAAAAAAAGCCAGCTTGTCATTATCCTAGCATCCCCTGCATGTGACCGCTTGTGGCCAAATATTAAGGAAATGGCTATAAGACCATTTCTGGCCAAATATTATAGGAAATCTGTTGGGCATCTTCTAGGAACACTTTTGTTTTCCTGATAAAAACGGTAGATGCCATTAGCCAGTACAGCCCTGTTCTCTTCCTCTTGCTTAGATACAGAAGCAATGCCTGGAGGGCAAGCAGCCATTTTGTGACCATGAAGAGATAAGGATGGAGGTAAAAAAGCCAACACATTAGGGATGACAAAAGGAAACAAAACAAAACAGAAGGAGCCTGAGTCCCTAATGAAACTGCTGGGTAGTAGCCACCCACCTTGACATTTTGTTGTGTGATAAACTTGTTTGTTTAAAGCACTAGTAATAGTTACTCTGCTACTTATAGCCCAACATGATACTAAATGATACAAATCTCAACACTGAAGATTCCAAAGGCAACACACACACACACACACACACACACACACACACCCGCCACCCCCCCACCCCCCCACCCCCGCCCAGCCCTCAGGGAGTTCCTGAGTTTGAACTACATCCCCTCCCACCTGCCCACCAGCCTGAGCCTGGAGCCAGTCCCTTATCCCCACCTGTCAAACTCCACAGAGTAGATGAGGATCAGGTAGCGCTTGGAGTTGAGCTGGGCCGATCTCGAGGCCAAGGGGCCCGGGCGGCCCCCCATCTTGCGATTTCGCAGGGACTCGAGATCTGTGTAGGTCAGCAGGTCAAGGGTGACCGACTCACTGCTCTGTTGAAAGAGGATGGGAGGAAATGCCAGGAATCCGGACATAGCCATACCCAGAGCACACAACCCACCTACCCAGGCCACTCCCCATCCATTCTTTGGACTCACTGGCTTTTCCTACACTGAGGCCAATGATCAAGATGGCCCTGCCCTAGGGGCTGGCACAAGAACGTCAGAGGGAGAGACTGGAAAGAACCTAAACGCTCAACCACGGGGGGCAGCTTAGTGCTATGGCTCTCCAAGTCTTGTCCAAAGACCCCTGGGGGTCCCCGAGACCCTTTCAGGGAGTCCATGAGGTCAAAACAATTATCATACTAATACTAAGATGTCATATGCCTTTTTTTGCTGTGCTGACATTTATACCAATGGTGCAAAATAATGGTGGGTAAAAGTGAAGGTGCCCATTAGCACAAATCAAGCCAGAGGCATCAAACGTACTAGTAATCACTAGTCTCTGTTGCCACACAGTTTCAGTGGGGGGCCGGGAAGGAAGAAGAAACAAGCAAACCTAGCACAGGAAATCAAACCTAGAATGTTCCCTCTTTTTTTTGTTGGTTTTTTTTTTTTAGATTTTGTTTATTTGACACAGAGAGAGCACAAGCAGGGGGAGCAGTGGAGAGAGGGAGAGGGAGAAGCAGGCTCCCCACTGAGCAGGGAGCCCGACATGGGGCTGAATCCCAGGACCCTGGGATCACGACCTGTGCCGAAGGCAGATGCAGACGCTTAACCGACTGAGCCACCCAGGCGCCCCAAACCTAGAATGTTCCTGATGAAGCAGTAAAAATTATTAATTTTTTTGAATCTCCATCCTTGAGTACATGGCTTTTTACTACTCTGTGACAAGAAAGGAAGCACACATTCTGTGGCATTCCAAAGTATGACAGTTGTCTCAGGAAGAACACTTGTGTAATCGAGTTTGGGGCTAAATTAGCCGCTTTTTCATGGAACACTATTTTTACTTGAAAGAACGACTGACAGACATAACTATGGTTATTCAGACTTGGATGTCTGGCAGGCATTTTCTCAAAAATGAACAAAGTCAGCCTGTCACTTCAAGAAAAACAGCTAACAGTATTTGGTGCCAATGGTAAAATTCAAACTTCACAGCAAAAATTAGAATTTTGGAAACCTTGGATCTGCCACTGTGTGCTTGATAGCTTCTTGATGTTGAAAGACTTCCCTGGTGAGATCAGTGAGGATATTAACAAACGTGACTTCCTGATATTGTATAATGAAATGCGTCAACATTCAGAAGATCTGTATAACTCAGTGAACTGTATTTTCTAAATGACCAATGCATGATATCATAAAATGGATAAAAGATCCAAGTAAAGTTCAAGATACATCGATAGATTTTAATGTAACGTAATATGAAAAGTTCATTGATAGGCCTTTGGACTCCACACTACAACAAATCTTTAAGAAATTACCACCTGTCCACTTTTAGTATGTTAGCAAAGAAGGATCTGTACAATTTCCTGATTAAAGGACTCCCTTTTCCAACCACATATCTATGTGAGTGAGATTTTCCTGCATATACTTCAACCAACACATATCACAAAAGACTGAATGCAGAAGCACATATAAGAATCTAGAAGTTTTGGGGGTACCTGAGTGGCTCAGTCTGTTAAGTGTCTGCTTTTGGCTCAGGTCATAATCTCTGAGTCCTGGGAACGAGCCCCACATCAGGCTCCCTGCCTGCTTCCTCCCTCTCCCTCCCCCTCTCCGGCGGCTCCCCCTGCTTGTATGTACTCTCTTCTCTCTGCCAAATAAATAAAAATCTTAAAAAAAAAAAAAAAAGAATCCAGGAGTTTTCTATTAAGCAAGACATTAAAGAGATTTGCAAAAATGTAAAACAATGCTATATTTCCTATTTTATTTTGTTTTAGAAAATGTATTTTTCATAAAAATGTTATTTAACATATAACTGGTTTATTACAGTGATTTTAAATGAATTCATAAATATCTTTAAGTTATTCTCAGTTTTAATTTATAAAACAACTTAATCTATAATATGGCAAACAAATATTGATAGATAAAATCTGCATAAACAAAAGCTCTTTGATGTCCTCAATAATTTTTAAGAGCATAAGAGGTCATGACACCAAAAAACTTGAGAACCATTGGGTTAAACAAATCATGCCACATGGGTATAATGGAATACTAAGCAACCACTAACAAGGATGACAAACTCACAAGTTGATGACAATAATAAAAAGACAATATCTGTAAAGCACTTATGAGCCAGACACTATTCTAAGCTTTTTACATAGAACTCATTTAATCTTCACCACACTGTGAAATAGGAACTACTGTTATCCCCACATTACAGTTAAGAAAACTAAGGCATGGGGCACCCAGTGGCTCAGTCAGTTAAGCATCCAACTCTTGATTTCAACTCAGGTCATGATCTCAGGGTGAAGAGACTGAGCCCCACATTGGGCTCTGCACTGAGTGTGGAGCCTGCTTAAGATTCTTTCTCTCCCTCTGCCCACCCCCTGCCCCTGTTTGTGTGCTCTCTCTCTCTCTCTCTGAAAGAAAAAGAAAGAAAGAAAGAAAGAAAGAAAGAAAGAAAGAAAGAAAGAAAGAAAGAAAGAAAGAAAGAAAGAAAGAAAAAGAAAGAACGCACTAAGGCGTGGAGGGGAAGTAACTGGCCCAGGGCTCCCAGCTAGTAAGTAGGAGTGATGAGTCTGACTTCAGAGTTCATGCTCTTGGCCATTATGCTATACTGCCTACACATAACAAAATGTTAACAGTCTAAAGTAGGGGACAGAAAGGGGATTATAAGAGACTGTCACTTTCTAAATCACACACTGTAACACTGTCATAATTTTATGAGTGCAAATTTTATCTATAATCAGAGAAATAATGTAGTTCATAGTTTTAAAATGATGTCTAAATAGCATCCCTGCCACTCTAACTTCCAACCTGATTTTTTTTCTATTAATACTTTTAACTACTTGACATTATGTATTTTTTCAATTTTTTGTTTCTCCCACTAGAATGTCAGCTTTGTAAGGACAGGAATTTTGTCTCTTTGGTTCACTGCTGTATCCCAGTGTTTACCACAGTACCTGGCACACTGTAGATACTCAGTAAAAATGACTCAAATGAGTACCAAATTCACTGATATGGCTAAATGTTTATGAAATATTGTTGAATCTTTTAAAAGCAGGTTAAAGAATACTTTGGGAAGTATACCAACTATATAAAATTATACATCTGCAAATACACACACACACACACACACACTTTCACAAGTCAACAAAGAAGTGGAAAAATGGCTGGAGTGATTTTCACCAAAATATTAATAAAATATTACCAGGAATGAGTATTAGGAGTAGAGTGATTTTTACTCTCTTCTTTACATTTCTCTGTGACATGAATTTTCTACATGAGAGTAACTATCACTAGGATCAGAATAAACCACTTACAATTGGGAAAGAAAAAGATAGCCCTGTCCCTTTAAGGAAAGAGAAAGTAGAGGGTCTTGCATTCATCAGATGGGCATCTACCTCCCCAGGGATCCAGAAAACAGAAACCTCCCCTGGCCCCCGAGCCCTGGCCCCTACCTGGGTGAGAGCCGACTCCAGCATGTTACAGAAGATGTTGAACTGTTTAAAGTTCCCCGTCTTGTGAGTCAGATCTTCAATGACTGGGTAGAGAGAAAAGTCCTTCCTGGAGTCTAACCACTTGCCCAGCCCAAGATCAATGCATCCAAGCTTTTCAACTTTCCCCAACTCCAGTGCCTCTGGCCTGAGGGATGAGCCCTCCACGCCCCCTCCCCACCTCAGAGAGTCTCTGGTCAGGTAGAAGAGGCAGATGGGCAGGTTCCGGGTTGGTCTCATCTTCAGGGAGAAGGTGATCCCGGGGAAGGACAGATGAACCCACCCCAGGCTGGCACACTCACAGCTGGCATCAAACTCGCCCCGCCACTGATCAGCCGTCATCCGGTCCTCCACTTCCAGCTCTAGCACCTGTCCAGACACCACCACCCGCACAGCATGCTCCACACCCCGGAAGATGTAGTCCACCTGCAGGCCAGCTGGCTGGTCCATGGCCAGTGTCGCTGGAGAAAGGGAGGAGACAGAGACCCAGAGGGGCTGAGAGCCCAGGCTCGGAAGCTAGAAGGCCAGAATTCATATCCTGGCTCCACCATTTACCAGTTTTGGCACCTTAGGAAAGAGATTCCCTCTCTGTGCCTCAATGTCCTCATCTGGAAAATGGGTATAATAATGGTTATCTATCTCGCAGAGCTGTCATGAGGATTAAATTGGACAATACACATAAAACCATTTTGAACTGTGTCTATGTCCAACACATGCTGGCTAACAGAATATATGATTTCTGACAAGAGAATCATGATTAATACTATTATTAATTTATTAATCCTTATACTCATTATATATTAATTATTCATTCATTCATTCAAACATTTGTGGGGGGGAACCGGGGTGGCTCAGATGGTTAGGCGTCTGCCTTCGGCTCAGCTCATGATCCCAGGGTCCTGGGATCGAGCCCTGCATCGGGCTCCCTGCTCCGCGGGAAGCCTGCTTCTCCCTCTCCCACTCCCCCTGCTTGTGTTCCCTCTCTCGCTGTGTCTCTCTCTGTCAAATAAATAAATAAAATCTTTAAAAAAAATTTTTTGTGGAGAAAAATCAAGCTGCATAGGGGGACAGAGAGTACTGAGGTCAGACAGGGCAGATTTTAGGTAGGTGGTCAGGGCAGGCCTCCCTGAGGAGGTAACCTACAGGCAGAGAACTGAAGGAAGGCAGGGAGCATGCCAAATGGCTATCTAGGGAAAGTGGTCCAAGTCGAGAGAACAGCAGCACTATGTATTATCAATGATACACTTAAATCATGTCCAGTGAATTAATAATCTATTTTATTAATTGGTCTGTTGTAAGCCTAAGTACCTTCTCTTAGCCAATAGGGCTACCACTCGCTGTTAGTTCTATGAAGTGGAAGAGAGGAGCAGATCTCTGCCTTCAGCCTGGATTTTAGGGGATGATTCAGAATGAGAGCCCTGGGTTGCCTGAGTTCCTATCTAGCTTTAGCTATGTGCACATACACGCAAGTTACTTAACCTCTCTTGGAGCCAGATTCCTTATCTTTAAAGCACATGCCATCCTGGGTGCTGGGGATATGAAGAGAAACCAGATTATGCCCCTACTCTCAAGAGGGCAGCAACAGTCAGAGGTATAAAAATGTAAAAAAAAAAAAAAAAAGTGAAGTAGGGGCGCCTGGGTGGCTCAGTCATTAAGCATCTGCCTTCAGCTCAGGTCATGATCCAGGGATCGTGGGATTGAGCACTGCTTTGGGCTCCCTGCTCAGCGGGAAGCCTGCTTCTCCCTCTCCCTCTCCCCCTGCTGTGTTCCTCTCTTGTTCTCTGTCAAATGAATAAATAAAATCTTAAAAAAAAAAAGGGGGGGAAGTAGTGGAAAAAGGAGATGCTGGGGATAGGGGTTGCTCTTTTAGCTAAGGTAGCCAGGGAAGGCCTCTCTGAGGAGAGGCCTGGAGAGGGGTAAGGAGATGGGTGAATATCTGGGGGAAGAGTATCCAGACAAAGGGAACACCCAAGCAAGAGCTCCAAGGTGGGATGCTCCTGATTTGTTCTAAGAACAGCAAGGTCAGCATGAGGGAGGGACAGAGAAGAGATATAATGGGCCAGATGATGCTCATGCAGGCCTCTGTAAGCCCATAGAAGGGTAACAGTGCTCATCTCCTTGGATTGGTGTAAGCATTAAATGAGTTAATCATGTTAAAATCCTTGAACAAATTGAGCAATGCCTGACACACAGCAAGCACTCATATACATACTGGCATTATTATTATTATCATTATCATTAGTTCTTTGTTGTTGTGTCTTGAAAGGCAGTACAGAAACAAGGCAAGCCCATTTTTCTCCCCAGTGTACAGATGGGGAAACTGAGACTCAGTGGAGTCCCACAGCTGCCCCAAAAACAGAGCTACCCAGGGCTGCCCTAAACCAGATCATGGGGACCCCTCCAAAGCCTGGTCTCCTTCACTCCACCACATCCTTTGCTCCTCACACTTTCCCCAAGAAGTCCTCCTAAAGGATGACATCAGGAAATATAATATTGTGAGGCCAGAAAATGAAGAGCCCTGAAACTCAAGGTCAGTGGTTTTTAACATTTTAAGAGTCTTTGCGCCTTTGATAGTCTAATGAGATCTCTGAACCCTCCCCAGATAAATGAATAGGCCCACAACCCTTTGCAAGTAATTTCACGGGCTCCCAGAATACCACCCTGAGGCCCATCCACAGATCCCCTTTCTCAAAGACCCAAGGACAATCGCCAAAGCCCCAGACATTCTGGCAGGCTCCTCTGTCTCTAGACCCAAGCTCTTAAGTTTATTTGGGAGAGTGGTCGGGGTCTCTCGTGTTTGGAGGCGGCTGATGAAGTCGAGAGACCTCTTCCCCTTGAAAATCCACACTCTCACAATTAGGCACTCTCACATTCTCTGTAAATTCAGAGGTGGGGTTAATAGTCCCTGATCTATAGGCAAACAAACTGCTACACGTTTCAACGTCTCTCGCATCCCCTGGTCCTCAGGGCGGGTGCCAGGCAGCGCTGGCCCCGCCCCACCGGGGGTGTCCTAGACCCCGCCCCCGGCCCCGCCCCTCAGGCTCCGCGAGCCAATCAGCAGTCGCGCCGTTCTGGTTACCAAGGCGTTGGAGGTACCTGCAGAACGCCCGAGGAGCGGCACAGCTTCACTGCCCAATTCACCAACCCCCTCGTGGTACCCAACTCCAGGTTGGAGAGAAGACTAAAAGGGCCCGTCCCACCCCATCTCCACTACCAACCCGGCCCTGCTCTCCTCCTTGCCCACTTCCCTGAATAAGCTCCCCATTCTCTTCCAGAGAATAGCAGCCCTTCACTAAATCACAGGGCCTTTCCGTATCCAACTGCCCTGATGTCATTAGCCTCCATCTCAGTCCCCAGATATTAAGCCTCTGAACATTCCCCCCCGAATTCCATTGTCCCCTTACACACACCTGCCTCCCACACCTCCACAAACTTCGCCCGCTCCCCTCCCCTCATCCTCTCTTCTCAGCTTGTCGTGAGCACTCAACAATTGCTGATGAAATAAACCCCACACCTCGGCCAGCTCCCCATCACTCATTCCCCAGAGGGCCTAGAGATTCTGGACTCCCTTCCCCTCCCCGCTGCAGAACCTCCCTCCCTCCATATTCCCGCCTCACCCCTTCTACCACGTTCCCCAAACCAACCCTCTCCACTCCCTTCCCCAAGTCCCTTACTGCCATTCGGCTCTCCCAGAATGGGGGCAGGGGGCCACATTCCCCTTCTCTGTACACCAGCCCCCATGTTCTCCTGGGGTTTCCCCCATATTCTACCTGAATTTTGCTCCCTATTATTCCGCCTGGATTCTGCCTGCATATTCGCCCAAGGTTCTACTCCACAGTGGGGATCTACCCCATTCTCAGCCTGTCTTACATTATCCCCATATTTCACCTGGATTCTGTTCCCTCCCAAATTCTATGTAAACCCTCTCTCCCCCTCCCCATATTTTCCACCTCTCTTCCCTGCAGAGCCTTCCCAGGACAGCTCCCCCCCCCCAATTCTGGGATTCCCCAGGCCCCACGCCCCTCCCTCCTTCCACCCCCCTGCCTTGTCCTTCTACCTGCATCCTCCATCCTTGCTCTGTGACCAGTGGCCCATCCTGGTTGCTGGTTTCGTTCCAGTCCCAAGACTCTCCTAGCTCCTCTGCGTCTCAGCTTCTAGACCCTGCATTCGAGGCCCCGCCCTCGCCAACCCGTGACGTCAGCACTTCAACCTTGCGAGCTCCGCGTGCACACCCCAGCACCACACTCTGGCCCACACACCTGATCCCATTTCTCGGGCCTCGTGACATCACGGCTTCAGCACACACGCACATACACGTACGCACGCGCGCGCACACACGCACAAGTACACTCAGCTTTCCGACCCCGGGGCCTTTCCCTCTCATCTTTCACTAAGGTGACTCCCCTCTTGGTTTCCAGGGTTACATCACGGTCCCTGGCTCCTCCTCCTCCCAGTAGCGCTCCCTGGATATTTCAGACTTCACATCCCTCGCCCTAGGGTGGAAGCCGAGAATTCTCCACGCTGGGTTACCCCAAACAAATCCACATCACCATTTCCCACACAGGACACGGGTAAATCACCACCTCTGTCAGCCCCCACCCCTGATGGCTATTTCACGCTGTCTGCAGCATTCTCTCCCGCCAACACCCCATATTTCAGCCTGGCCATGACCTAGCTGGCCTCTCCTATACAGTATACCCCCCCACCTCACATACACACACTGGCCTGGCCGGAGTGACCCCTCCCCGCCATGTGAGTGAGTTTTAGCTGGCTAGAATTCCCCTCCCTTCACCCTGCACTCCCCCAGAATATAGACCAGAGCCTCCCACACTGTCCCCCTGGAATATATAAACACAAAAATCTTTAAGGACTCTCCATGATCTGCCCCTCCATAGTGCACACTGCAGCCCATCACACACACACACCCCCCAAATATCCAAACCTCCCCCTACTACCACTCAAACAGGACTACGCACACCCATCAACCAGTGACTTGTCCTTAATTCTGTTCTCCGGTAGATGCTGTAACCATCCCCCATTTTACAGAGGATGAAACTAAGATTTGCCTAGAATCCTGCAGTGAGGGGCTTCCCATTACCCAGCTACCTTTCCTCCCATAACTCTCTGCTCCTTTCCCTCCAGGCACCAATTCTTATGTGTGGCCTCGGACCTTAAACATGACACACACTGCGAGAAAGGGACTCCTGGGTTCAGCTCCTGCTCCACCACTTACCCACAATGTGACCCAGGGCGAGGCGCTTAGCCTCTCTGGGCTTTTTCCCACCAGTAAAGTGAGGATAATAAGAGCGCCCATCTCACATAGGATGATTGTGGGGATTAAATTAATTAATATATGTAAGGAGTTTCAAACAGTGCCTGGCACCTGGTCAGCTGTTTACCATCTGTGCAACCAGCTGACGATTAGTTGACAGACCAGAAGCCCAAGAGGGCAGAGCCATTTTGATCATTCTTGTACCTTCAGCACCCTGGGCCTGGCACAGATCAGGGACTACTTGTGAATTTATGCGAGATGCCAGGAAATGGGGTTCTAGGCACTGGAGATACAGCCAACGTCCTCTCCCCTCAGCTCACTGCTTTGTCACCAGGTTCCAACTCCAATGTCCATTCCTACAGGAAGCCCTCCCTGACTCCCAGGCTAGGTAAAAAGCTGTCTCAATCACCAGTGTCCCCGGCACTGCTTGGCAGAGAGGCAGCCACAGAGGGGTAGTTTAATGATGAGGGAGCTCCAGTCCAAGCTCCGAACTGGTGTTTCTTCAAGAGAGGACTGCAGACCTTCAGCATGAACACGGGTGCTTGACTTAAAAAAATGCAGGATCTTGGGCATGATCCCAAATCTACAGAAGCAGAATCTCTGGGGGTGGGCCCAGGAATCTGCATTTCCTACAAGCTCCCCCAGCTCTGAGATCTGAGAGCTTCTGCCCCTGGATACCCTTCTGTTTCCTCCCAGTTTATTACCTGCCCAGTTTATTACCCCATCTTAACCCCACCCCCCATCCAAGGCTCTCCCAGCTCAACAACCCTGCCCTATACTACAGGGAGCTTCCCCCTCCCTGCCCAGAAATGGTGATGATGATGGTATAATACAAGTAACACTTTTTAAGCATCTACGGGCCCTTCTAGGTGCTAAGCTCTATATTCTCATGGAGTCAACACTCTGGTGGGGGGTGGGAGTCTAAGAAGCCAGGGGATATAAACAAACCCTAATATATGTTGGGTACTGGTGTTACTGAAGAAAAGCAAAACCAGGTGATGAGGCGCCAGGAAATAACAGGAGCTATTTTAGCTTGGGTGGTTAGAGAGGGCCTGTCTGTGGATTTGACATTTGAACAGAGACCTAAGGAAGTGAGGGAGAAGCCATGTAGACATCTAGAGGGAACATGATTCAGACAGAGGGCACAGCAATGACATTCCCCAGGTGGGAACGTATTTGCTATGTCTGAAGAACAAGGAGGCCAGGGTGGCTGAAGCAGTGTCAACAAGGGAGAATGGCAGGAGTTGAGGGCAGGCTGGAGGGAGAACTGGATTGGGTGGAGCACTATGAGCTTGGCAAGGACTTATACTGTGTGAGGTGGAAGCCACGGGAGTGCCTGGATCAGGGAGTAACATGATCTGACTTTTGTTTCAACAGGAACCCCCAACTGTGGGGTCCAGGGCAGAGGCAAGGAGCCCAGCGAGGAGGCCACTGCAACAGACCAGGTGGGGCAAGTGATGGCATGAATCAGAGCAGCAAGGGAGGTGGCGAGATATGGCTGGATTCTAGAAGTGTTCTGTAGACCCATGAGATCTGCTGATTGGCGGATGGCACGCAGGAAAGGAAAAAGGGAGAGTCAAGGACAACTCCAAGGTTTTTGTCCTGAGTACCTGGAAGAATAGAACTGCCATCAGCTGGGTTTGGAAGAGGGAAACTACAAGTTTGGTTAGGGACAAGTTTTTAAAGCACGGATGTCAGTTGGACTTCCAAGTAGAGAAGAGTCAGCCATTGGACAAATGAGTATGGAGTTCAGAGAGATCCAGACTGCAGACCGGCACTTGGGAGTTATCATTATATAAAGACCATGTGAAACCAAGAGACTAGGTGAGTGGTACAGACAGAGAAGAGATGAGGTCATTCTAAGGATGCTAAAGCTGAGGCACAGAGGGTTAAAGAATTTGCCCCAAGCCACCCTGACGTTCAGTGGCAGGGCCAGTGGCAAAGCCAGCATTTAAGCTCAGGCAACCCAACTCCAGAGCCCACAGTCTTAACCAGAGGGAGGTGTGTTAGGAAGTTTAAGAGTAACTCATACAAAACCTGGCACATAGTAAGCCCTGAGTAAACGCTGCATGTATCATGTGGCTTCACACCTCCCTAAAGCACACCTCCATCCTCGAAGTCCTCACTCATTCTCTCCCTCCGTAGTGCTTCACCTGCCCTCCACCCAAATCAAAGCTTGTAACTCATCCCAAGGACCTCCGCTCCTCCACACCGCGCTACAATAACCCCTCGCCTCAAAACCTCCCGTTAAATCACAAGGCTATATTACAGGGGAATTTCTGTATTTTACCGCCTGCTGTCTCCAGCTTTACACACTTTCCCCCATTAAAGACCCTCCTGCAAGATACAAAACATCTCCCCCAACCCCCGACTCAGATGCTGCCCTCTGCCTCACAAACCACCGTCAAAGTGCCTATCCGTGTTAAAGGTCACCCCTCCCGATTCCTACACTGCCCGGTCAGCTGCCCGCCGCAGCCCACCCTCCCCCAGAGCATCCCCTCCCCCCAGGATCCCCACCCTGGCCCGCGCACCCTCCACTCTCGCCGCCTCTCACCTTCTCCACAGACAACCCTCCTCGCGAGCAGTTCAACTGCCGAAGCTCCAGCCCCGCCCCAGGATCCGGCCTTCTCGCTTCTGACTGGCCCTGGCTTACTCGCAGCCAAGTTCTCATTAGTCAAAACAGACGCCCGTCACTCCGTGTCCCGCCTCAGAGACGAGCCCGCCCTCCAAAGCTTGCAATTGGCCAACTCGGATGAGCGATTCCTAAATAGGCCGGGTCGTCGGTCTTCTCTCCAATCATTACTGGCTAATTCCTACTGCCAGTCATGCAAAGAGGGTTGTTCCTCGGAGGGGGAGGAAATCCTGGAAGTAGCCCCTTGACTCCGCCCATCACCCCCTGCCGCGGACTAGACGCGCCCACGAGGAGGGGCGGGTTGGAGGAGAGGCGGCGGCACATGCGCACGGGAAGGTCTTGGCCGCCGCGGGTCCGGAAGCTGCGGGGAAGTTCTAAGCGTAAAGAGGGCAGAGGTTTATCGTTGCTCAGTGCGTTCCAAACCAGCATTAAGCGCTTTGCAGGCCTTGGCTTCTTTAAACTTAACAACAACGCTGCGGTGTAGGGGCTACTATGATCCCCAGTTTGCTATTAAGGAAACAATCTCAGAGAGGTACAGCCACTGCCCGGGGATCACACAGCTTGGGAACGTATACCTATTTTGAGCCAAAGAGTCATCAACAGGGCTGATAGAACTTACAGAGTTTGGTGGGGGAGTATGGGAGGGGAGCGTTCCTTAAAAGAAATACAAAATTACTAACAAAATTGGGTATGGGGGCGCCTGGGTGGCTCAGTCGGTTAAGCGTCTGCCTTCAGCTCGGGTCATGATTCCAGTATCTTGGGATCGAGCCCCGCATCAGGCTCCCTGATCAGCGGGGAGTCTGCTTCTCCCTCTGCCTTTATCCCTACTTGTGCTGGCTCGCTCTCTCTCTAATAAATAAATAAAATATTTTAAAAATTGGGTATGAACGTGAAAATTTAGAATATGAAATAACAAATTACATATTTAAAAGGGCTGACAAATACCACAAACATTGCAAAATCCCAAAAGATAACGTAATGTTTTTATTAATTTACTGCCTGACACACCTCTGTGGTAGTCGCCTACTTTTTTGGCTGCAAATACTTATTTCATAATATCCTAATCTGCAGAGAGAAGAGAAAAGTAAATTATCTTCCCTCTAGTATGCTTGATGGAACTTTCTTTTAGTCCTTATAGTTTAGAAAAAGTTTCACCTTCACAAGTCAGTATGGGTGATGTCATCGAAACATTTTGGAAATTTGTGAAAACTTTCACAAAGTTTAATTCATGTTAGCTATGTTTTGGAAGATGCTTTCATGGACTAGCTTCTGGCTCAGTCTTTTTTTTTTTTTTCTTCTTTTTAAGATTTTATTTATTTGAGAGAGAAAGAATGACTGGGGATGGAGGGTACAGGCAGAGAGAGAAGCAGGCTTCCCACCAAGCAGGGAGCCCGATGCGGGGCTCGATCCCAGGACCCCGGGATCACGACCTGAGCAGAAGGCAGACGCTTAACCGACTGAGCCACCCAGGCGCCCCTCGCTCAGTCCTTTTAATTACTGACTCACCTCCATTGCACAAGTGCTTGTGGAGTGAGTCACTAGAGCATAGGGTCATGCCACAATAGACTATGGGGCCTTGTACCTCCTGAGTTAGCACCTCCAACAATAGGAGCATTCCTGGAAGCCATTCCTAAACCAGGACTGCTAGTTAGGTAATTTAAGTATATCTGAAAGCGGCTGTGAACCATATCACTGTATCCCGTGAAACCCAACCTAAACGTATCCTCAACTCACCTTCCTCTCCGCTAGATCCCGCAAATGCCTGAGGCTACTCCAGCACCATCCACGGTAAGAGAAGTACAACAGGGGGGAGTAGAATCGCAAAAAGACAGTAGTCTTCACCAACGGCATTTTTTAAATATCCTCCTTTTGCAAATGTTATGAAGACCTCAGACCTTAGGAACGCATTAAAGGACTTTTGCAAATCAAGGTCCTGAAGCTGGCATGGGCTTGACTATAAACCCATCCTGAGCACCAGTCATCATGCACTTGAGTGTCCATTGTGTGCCAGAGGCTAATGCCAAAAATCTTGCCCTGAAGCTTAAGGGCCAGTCCTGGCATTGCCACCAACTGGTTGTGGGGCCCCCTTCCCTCTAAGAGTTTTTCCACTTGTAAATTGAGTATTGCTAAAAAGACTAACATCTAGGGTTCTTAAGGAGGCCCAGATATAAAGTTCACAAAACAGTCCAGTTAAGAACTTGGGCTTTGCAGTCCGAGAGGCCAGGATTAGAATCCAAGACACATTGGGGAGGGAAAAAAAAAGGAATCCCAAAGCATCCTCTTACCAGCTGTGGGAGCTCCCATAAGTCATGCCTCTTCCCCGAGCTTTGCTTTCTTCATCCATAAATGGAGTTCAAGTCATTCCTTCATTCATCAAGCATTTACTGAGCATCTGCTATACTCCAGGCACTTTTCTGGGTGCTAGGGGTAGGTACATCAGTGAACAAAGAGAAAAAGTCAGTGCCTCATGAAAGGGAAACAAAGAATTAAATTATAAACAAACAAATGTATATATGTCAGATTGTGGTAAGTGCTTCGGAGAAAATAAAACAGAGTAAAGGGGACAGGGTGTTCAGAGGTATCTCAGACAAGGTGACTTAGAAGAGAGACCAGAAGAAAGTGAAAGAACCAGCCTTGCGGGTATAGGGGTAGAACATGCCAGGAAAAACAAACAATGAGTGCAAAAGCCCAGAGGTGGGAGCCTGCCTGATGCATTTAAAGAACAGTGAGGGGGCGCCTGGGTGGCTCAGTCATTGGGCGTCTGCTTTCCGCTCAGGTCATGATCCTAGGATCCTGGGATAGAGCCTCTGCATCGCATCGGGCTCGCTGCTCAGTGGGAAGCCTGTTTCTCCCTCTCCCACTCCCCCTGCTTGTGTTCTCTCTCTCGCTGTCTCTTTCTCTGTCAAATAAATAAAATATTAAAAAAAAAAAAAAAAGAACAGTGAGGAGGGGCACCTGGCTGGCTTAGTTGGTAGAGCATGTGGCTCTTGATCTTGGGGTCGTGAGTTAGAGCCCAGTGTTGGGGGTAGAGTTTACTTAAAAAAAAAAAAACAAAAACAAAACCAGGGAGGAAATCAATACTGAGTGAGTGGGAGTGTGGAATAAGACACCTGGGAGGGAGCCAGAGGCCAAGTCATGCAGGGTGTTGTAAGCCGTTGTGAGGTCTCTGGGTTTTGCTCTGAGATGGGACCCATTGAAGGTTGAGGGCAGCAGGGACACTTTTACTCATGTCTTAAGTGGTGATGCTGGTGGCTGTGTTAAGAATAGGCTGTTAAGGGGCACCTGGGTGGCACACTCAGTTGAGCTTCCAGCTCTTGGTTTCGGCTCAGGTCATGATCTCATGGGCTGTGAGATCGAGCCCCGCATTGGGCTCCGTTCTCAGCATGGAGTCTGCCCGAGTTTCTCTCTCCCTCTGCCCCTCCCCCTGTCTCTCTCGCATTCTCTCAAATAAATCAATAAATATATTTTAAAAGAGTCAGCTATTAAAATAATTCGAATGAAATAAAATAGTGCCACCTGTGGGAAACATTTTGGCAGTTCCTCAAAAAGTTAAACATCGGGTTACTGTATGACCCAGCAATTCCACTCCTAGGCATTGACCTAAGAGTATTGAAGACTGGTGTTCAGACAAATATTTGTACATGAATATTCGCAGCAGTACCATTCATAATAGCCAAAAGGTGACAACAACTCAAATGTCTTCTATCCATAGATGAATGGATAGACAAGGTATGGTACATCCATGCCATGGAATATTATTCAGCCATAAAAAGGAATGGAGTATTGGTCCATGCTACAACATGGAGGAAGCTTGAAAACATGCTGAGTGAAAGAAGCCAGACACAAAGGTCACACATTGCATGAGTCTATTCATATGAAATGTCCAGAGTAGGCAAATCCGTTGAGACAGAAAGCAGATTAGTGGTGCCAGGGACTGGGGGTGGGGGTCACTGTTTAATGGGTGTGAAGTCTCCTTTGGGGATGATGAAAGTGTTTTGGAACTAAATGGAGATAATTCACAACACTGTGAATGTACTAGATGCCTCTGGCTTGTGCCCTTTAAAATGGTTAATATTTTAAGCAAAAGATTAAAAAAATCATTCAAATGAGAGATGATGGCGGCTTTTATGAGGGTGGTAGCGGTGGAGGTGGTGAGACGTAGTTAGAATCTGCATGTTCTGGAGGTAGAGCTGACAGAATTCGCTGATGGATTGGGTGTCGGGAGGGAGATAAAGAAACGAGTCGAAATGATTGCGAGGCTTTTTGATCTGAAGAGCTGTGAAGATGAAGTTTCCATTTATTGAGATTAGATGAATAGCAGGTGGGGGGCAGGGAGAAGCAGGGATCAGGAGTTTGGTTTTGGACATGATGAAGTACCTAACAGACTTGCAAGTGGAAGTGTTGAGAGGCTAAGTGAATATATGAGTCTGAATTCTGGGGTAAGGTCCAGCCTAGAGAGATATATGAATTTGGGAGGCCAAGAGAAGACCAAGCGCTGAGCCCCAATGTTTAAAGACAGGGCGCCTGGGTGGCTCAGTCAGTTAGGCATCTGACTCTTGATTTCAGCTCGGGCCATGATCTCCGGGTCGTGAGATCGAGCCCCATATGGGGCTCTGTGCTGGATGTGAAGCCTGCTTGGCATTCTCTGTCTCCTTCTTCCTCTCCCTCTTTCTCCCCACCCTCAGCTCACAAAGAAACCACAGAGAAGGAGCAGCCACTGAGATAGGAGGGAAATCATGAGTGTGGAGGGTCTTGGGAGCCAAGGGAAGAAAATAAACCTAGGAAGAGGGTGTGACTATCATTGGGAGGGCTCAAGTGACATGAGGGCTGATCACTGGACTGTTGGATGGAGCCACTTGGAGGTCACCGGTAACCTCAAGAGTTGATTTGGCCAAGTGGTGAAGCCAAACCCTGGTTGGCTGATTCAAGAAGGATTGAGGGAAAGGAAGAGGAGACATTAGTACAGATCTCTCTCTCTCTCTCTTTTTTTTTTTTTTTTTTAGGGTTTTGCTGTAAAACCATAAAGAGCAGCAAAATACTGGAGCTTAATTAGCTAACAACCTTAGCTAGTTGAGGTTAATAAAGCATATTTGTATTAAAACGTGTTTGATGCCAATGAGAACGATCCAGAAGAGAGAGGATGATGGATGGTGCAGGAGAGAGCGGGGAGAATTGCTTGATTTATGTCCCTGAGTAGACAAGAGAGGATGGGATCTAGTACCCACTCAGAGTGTTTCCTTATCTAACAGGAGGGAAGGCAGAGAACAGGGTCTCAGATGCAGGTAGGAGGTAGATGCCCTGGGAACCTTTTGATGGCTTCTCTTCTCTCCCTGAGAATGGATCAGGGTCAAGGGTGAGAATTAGGAGAGGGGCGGAGCTAGAGGTTCAAGGCGGGAGGAGAAGGTGTGTAGTTATTCCAGGAGCATGGGAGAACGAATGGACATGAGGAAGGTTTCCAGGTGGTCCCCAGGTGAGTGATCACGTAGCATGTGTTTGTGTCCAACCACATTCAGCTGGTGCAGGCACAGAGCAGGCAGAAAGCTGGGTGAGAATTGCCCACCAGTCTCATTCACATAAAAGCTGGGAACAGGACCCGGTGCCCAGGGAGTGCTAGAAAGGAGGACAACTGTAATGGCTGGAAATGCTTTGATTTGGGAAATAGAGCGGCTATGAAAAGGATAGGGACCAGGGTCTTATCCAATCCTATCCATTTACAGATAGGGAAAAAGAGGCCCAGGTGGGTCCAGGTTTCCCACACCTTAACACGATTTAAAAAAAAATTTTTTTTTTAAAGATTTTATTTATTTATTTGACAGAGAGAGACACAGCGAGAGAGGGAACACAAGCAGGGGGAGTGGGAGAGGGAGAAGCAGGCTTCCCGCGGAGCAGGGAGCCTGATGCGGGGCTCGATCCCAGGACCCTGGGATCATGACCTGAGCCGAAGGCAGACGCTTAATGAGTGAGCCACCCAGGCGCCCTGATTTTTAAAAAAATTTTTAAAGATGTTATTTATTTATTTGACAGAGATTGAGAGAGAGAGAGAGAGAGAGCACAAGCAGGGGGAGCGGCAGAGGGAGAGGGAGAAGCATGCTCCCCGCTGAGCAGGGAGCTCCATGTGGGACTTGATCCCAGAACCCTGAGATCATGACCTGAGCCAAAGACAGATACTTAACCAACTGAGCCACCCAGGTGCCCCTAACATGATTTTTTTTTAAATATGAGGTGCTATAATTATTATGCTTATAAAATTTCCCAATAGATAAACCCATGATCAGATTTACTGAGGCCATCAGCAAACGTACCCCAAGCTCTCCTGGATTGTCCTGTCTGGTTATTACAGCTGATTAACATAGAACAGTCATTAAGCCATAGGTGTTTTCCTGTATGTCTCAGTGAGAGGCAGTGAGTTGGTTAATGAGCCTGTCTGCCTGGGTTTGAATTCCAGCTCTGCTTCTTAGAGTCTACTTCTCCATGTCTCAGTTTTCTCATCTGTAAAATGGGGATGATAACAGCAGATGTGCCTCATAGTGTTTTTTTTTTTGTGTGAGGAATGAA